TCTGGTACAGGAAGGGGAATAACTATACCAATATAAGGCATTTTTTGTAATGATATAACTTGAATCCACATTAGGACTTGTACCGATATAACTATATCAGTTTAAAAAAAAGTCACATCCTTGAGGCCTTAGTGAAATAATTATACTGTTACAAGAACTGTGTGTAGATCAGGCTTCTATGGAACATGCCAGCAAGGATGCTAATTAGTGCATATCCTAATGGTGGCATTTTGCAATATGGCAGCTTGCCAGTCAAGAACTACATTTAATCCATTTCACATATGCCAGTACAAAAGATTTCCCTCACCCCCAGTTAAATTAGTGGAGCTGCATGTGATTCCCTTGGAAGGAGTAAACAAACTGACTTGGGCACCAGGCGTCCCATCAAGCTGCAGAGCTCCTGGATGATTGAATTTATGTATTTTAAGAGGTTTTGTGAACATGTTTTAATGTTATATCTGAATTAATAATTAAGTGGCAAAAAATGACATTAATGCAGAGTTAAGGTTGCTTGGTGGTATATTGTCTCCTTGCAGTAGGTTGAGTTGAGGAAAACTCAAACTTATGAAAACCAGGAAATGCACGGTTAAGGTTGCACAGTTAACTCTACCCTTTTTCGTCAATGCCCCAGTACACCCCAATACACACAGACCTTTATTCTGCCACCCCCACAGTTGCTGAAATGTACAACCTCTTTCCCCTCCCCTACCACCCATCGCCATTTATCCCACTTCCCAAAGCTCCCCTCCCTTTGCTGCAGCCCCAAACCCATTCCCTCTATTTCCCCACTCCTCCACCCTTAATACCACTCTTCTCCCAGGAAGCATTCATGTCTAACGTTTCCCCAAAGACTTGGATTACATCCCCCCATGACTCTCAAATTGTAGCAACCTCCAGTCACTTAGTCCAAAACTCCTTGTGTCTTAGGTGGGAGCATGTGATTAATTTATCCTTAATGATGATAATTGAAGGGTGAATCAGTCATCCATCTCAACGAGGTTTGAGATTCATCTAATTATTAGTACCTCTAAGTTCAACAGTATAAGACAGCAGAAGAGACCATTTGGATTTTAGAGCACTTACAAGAGTCAAGTTTTAAAGCACATAAAGTGGCAGGAATGGAACCCTCTAGCCATATTGGTGCATACACACAGTAAAAAAAAAAATGTATATTTTCTTAAATACTATTATCAGTTTGGGTTCCCCAAAGATTTAGTGGTGCTGTGCACTACCTTGGGTATAACTTGACAGACTGTGACCCACATCACTTCAATAGTTTGAGGTCTTGAGGGGGGGGAGATAAAGGGGGGGGGGAGAGAGAGAGAGAAGAGGTGACTTGAATTCTGCAACAAAAAAAATTCCCCAACTGGGTTTTGGTTTTTCTTTCTTTTCTTTTTTTTTTTAATGGCTGTTTTTTTCCCCCCAGGGTTCATATCTCTGCAGCTCTTAGCTTAAATGACCCCAGATTACACTACAGTTTTAGTGTTCTAGCTCTGTGTGAGTTGGGAATCACAGCCCTAGCTCTTAGTGTAGACATAGCCTTAGAGTTTTAGATGATTGATCTGTGCAGCTAGTGGTAAGGTCAAGTGGATGCTGTGGTGGAGACAATTTGTTTTGTTTGGGCAATGCAGAAAAAATGCCAGCGGGGAAAAGGGTGTTTTTTAACTTTCAAATAGTCACTTGCAAGATGAATCTCTTGTTCTTATTTCAAAGCGCAATAAATAATTTTTAAAGCTGCTGCCTTTCTTTTGGTTAGAGTGATGAGTACTCATTTTATTTGCTATTTTCTTTTTTCCTCTTTTCCTTTTTTCCTGTGACATGCTGAACACAACATAGGAATCTGACGTTGGGTTCTTTTTTCTGTTTCCCAACCACGTAACTTCCTGACTTGTAATATTAGACCAGTTCAGGTGGTACTGTAGTGGGTTTTTTTCCACTCACGGTCCCAATCTTGGCTGCTAATTTTCCTAATAATTAAATTCAAACTTCCCCTGTTCAGCATTACATCTGTGATATTTGTGCTAGAAATTAGCCTTGATTAATTGTGACCTGCATTTGAAAGTCAGCAGTGGTTTATTAGAACTTCTAAAAAAGCATTTTACAAGGTTTTTTTGTTTATTTATTTTGTTAACTCTATGGGCATTCGTGAACTGTTAAGGATACTGTTCATAGTACATTTTGAGTTCAAGACACGTTTGCTGGGATAGATCAAATGGGCCAATCACAATGCATATTTTCTGTGCCTTTGATCGGCTGAGTATATCTAATGTAGTCAGGAGGGTCAGTAGAAGCCATTTCACTTGGTTTCACAAGGGGAGAGTTGACCTGGAAAATCAAATAGGCAGGAAGTGGGAAGAAGTACATCTGCTGGTCCCTATGTGTCTCTGACACTAACAGGCAGTTGCCTAGTACATTGTTACCTTCTGTGATTCTCTACTTATTGTGTACTGTCTTGTTTTATATTTTGGTTCACATAATAATTATAGGACAGTTTTATAATAACTTTGATCTCAGAAAAATGTACATTGTTGCATCAGAAGCCTGCTTCTTTTCCAGTTCTTGTGAGACAGCAAACACTGCAAATATCAGAAAAGTGTCAACATTGACTTTTGCTTATGGATTTACAAGAAGAATTGATCATGGGAAAACTTTCTGAACATCAGGGATTTGAATCCATGCAAACTGGTTATGATGCACAATATTTACAAGGCTGTTTGTTACCCTACGTGAAAGGGTTTGCATTCTGCTGCTGGGCATCTTCAGTATAACAGCTTCATGTCTACATTAACCCTGTAGCAAAGTGAGCTAAAATTGCGACTTCTACTCCATAGCTAGCTGCTGTTATGGGCATGAGTATGTTGTATTATGTAAACTTCTGTTCCAGGAAAAGTGTTAACCTCCAAGTTTCCCCTTGTTCCATCTGTTAAAAGTTCAAGGAATCTACCATCAATCTTTATTACCTGAGTCATCAGGCTGGATGAGAGGGGCTGTGTACACAAGGATATATGTGCATATTTCTTTGCCCTCTCCCCACCCGTATACCCGTATATTTATTGTTGTCATGCCTCTCAGCTTTCAGATCTTCCACAGTGTGACACCGGCAATCAAATTGTTTGACAGGTGAGAGATATACAGATCACCTGTGGTTGATTACACTTTGTGTGCCTTTATTGAGATTTTAATGGTTTTTAACTTTAAAACCTTGTTTTAAGTATGTTTTAAAGTAAGTAATTAGTTTAAAAAAAAAGAAAACTGGAATAATAAATAGGTCATCGGTAGGGTATGATTCCTGGATTTTCAGATCCCAAGGACAGCGCTCTATTACTCAAGCTACAAAGAATATATTATTTTTGTTGTGGACAAGGCATGCCAGAAGGGCACTACACATATTTAGCAATTGGGTTTACACAGCTGTTTGGTAGGCAGTGCAGTATATTGAGACTTGGATTCCTGAATTCTGTTCCTGGCTCTGGGAGGGGAGTGTTGTGTAGTGGCTAGAACCGTGGCTATAGACCAGATAGACAAGTATGCTGACTGGGCATAGTAATTTGAAAGACAATGTGTCTTGGGTCTTCTTTGTTAGAGACCTGGGTTCTATTCTCAGTGCTGCCTGAAATGACCTTGTGCTGCCTTGCAGTTAATTTATTTGTAGAACAGGGAAAGCAATTTGACTGCCTTCTATAATGTGTATAAACTGTGCTGAAGAATAAGAGTGGTGAAGTATAGAAATATAAACAGCAGTAAGTAGAAGTGAAATCTGAACTTCTTGCTTTCAGCTGAGTGCACTTTCCCATAGGGTACAAAGTACTTTGTGGAGGGGAGTCTCTCACACACACTCAACCACCCATCCCGCCTGCTTCCCTTTGTGGTGCAATGGAAGAGACAATTGGATTCAGCCACTAGGTGATACACATGAGAGGTCTGCTGATTTTTAGGTAATTCATTTGGAAGGCAGGTGCAATATTAAGGGCAGGCACATTCTATTGTGGCTATTCTAAATGTGGCTTAAATTCTAGCATGACCTGCAGGTCTCTTTGGGAAGAATCAAAGTGTTTTTATTAGGGATGGGTCAATCACACAAAGTTTGAGATCTTGGAAACTATTTTTGGGTTTCCAAAGCTAGCTTATGTTTATAGTCTTTCATTTATATGAAATTTTTTCATAGATTTTTATTGAGTGTTTTAATTTTGAAAATTTTTTCAAGCTACAACAAATTTTATTATATATTAATATTATGATATAACTTAGATGTACTACATTGTGTTCTCTGTTTTGGGTACTCTTCTTTATCATGATAACTTCTGAAGTAACAAAATGGTTTAAAAATTTATTTGTGACTCTCCCATCCCAAACAGATTGATTTAATTTGTTACTATAAATAAACAGATTTATGAATCTCTCACCTACAAATAGATTTCTGTAATTAGTAGCTATAAATAATCGTAGTGTACAGAATCAAGTTGTAAAGCTCAGTTGATTGAATGTTTGATAGTTCATCTTACTGTTTAAAGAATGGAATTTGTAACAAATTTTAAATAAAAATAAAAAAAACTGTGAGGTTTCAAACATCATGTATCTTTCAACTAGAAACTCCAGCTCCTCTTACATTTTTCCTTACTTTTGGTTACAGCTTTGAAGTGTTTGACTCTGCTCTGGAAAGTGATTTTTAAGATGCAGTGTTTTTATTGCCTCTTGATTTCCATAACAAATATGCTCAGTCTATAAATAAATAGATGTTTTTCTAACTGCTATCCCTGCAAACTCAACCTGGGTCTTGAGAGTCAGGCTGGGTTTTTTTCTTGTATATTTGTTGGCATCATCGTCCATAATAAAGATTCTTCAGGAAAAAAATATGCCCACAATTACACCAATACAAAACCATAATCTTTAAATTTCCATTTCATGCTGAAGACTCAGCAGCTGAACTCCTTACTAGAGTCAATAAAACGTCATTAAAAAGTCACTAATACAGAACAATGTGCTTTGTTTTATTGGTTTAGTTGTTCAGCAACATCAAAGATGGAGAAAGTTTACAGTTGTTTGAGCAAGGGCATCGCACAGCACACAAGCAGGAGACACACACCATGGAGGCAGTGCGGCTGGTGGAATTCAATCTAAAACAAGTGCTCACAAAGCTTGTGACTAATCTCTTTGGTGATGGTAAGTATTGCAATGTGGTGTTAGACCCTTTCACCTAGTCTACTGGTGGGCAGGCATGGATCCAAGTTTTTGAGAACGGTTATGCAGCATAATAAAAGAGAGAGAGCCAGGGAGAGCTGTTGGGACCTGTCATGGCACTAAAACAGCTGCATTTGTTTTTAAAAAGTCTATTGATTGCTCTTTTTGATATAATCAGTAATTTTATATACAATTACATATTGTGTGTATGTTATTACATCCACTCTGTCCAAGAAGTAACATGAAAGTTCCCCATAGCTTAATAAACTAGACTCTGTAACTGAGTGGAGGCTGTCCACCATTTGCTGTTTCGAGGTTATAGAGTGTGTGTGTATGAATAAGAATGGTTTTTAATAACAGTTACTATACTGAAGTTTATTCTGCAGCAGGTTAGGGGGAGGCCAGATGAACATTAGAAAAAACATTCTTAAATAAATAGTTGCTAAACCTGCAGACTGAAACTTTAAATTACTAGATTCCCTACTCATTTTGATCTATCAATGAGGTTATTCTCTTTCTCCCTCCCTCCCTCCCCATTTTTCGGGAACATAAAGACATAGCGTATGGTCAGGAACTTATAAGAATTAAGTCCTTTTCCTCTCTCCTGTCTTTCACTCTCCAGCTCTTCTCTGATTACTTCCAGCTCAGTTGTCAGTGAAAACAGAACAATAAAGTAAGGTGGCACCAAAGGAACAAAATCCGTGCTATGTAGTTTATTATGTAGACATACAATATGGGCACAGTGCAAAAGATCTTGGATAAGTTCAAATAAATTCTGCCTGTCACAGCATTTATCTTTGAATGTTTATTCTGCTGTCCAACTTATCGTATGTTTTTTGTTTACTTTTCTGCCTCAGAAACGCAAATGTCCCTCAGATTTTAATTTTGAAATTGAAATGGATTTTACTTTGTTGCTTCTGTAGAAAAATGATGTAATTTTTCTTTTTGTTGAAATAGAATTATACTGTAAGGTCCCACATTCAGTTGCTTAAGGTCCCACATTCAGTTGCATGCTCTCTCGCTCTCTCTCGCTCTCTCTCTCACACATACACACACACTTTTGTTTATTATTGCTGCTTTTCATAAATCACTTAGGTTGTATTCTTTACAGATTATGAAGTCGGCAAAACCTCTCAGTTGAGTTACACATTCTATCAAGTGGGATAACAATTCATAAGCACTGGAGCTATAGCAAGCTTCTGAGGTATCTTACTGCCATACATGTCATTAAATAACATAAGTTGCTTAAAGTCTATCCTTTTGTGAAAGCTAAATGACTATATCAGGTCTTTATTTTATCTCTCGAAGTCTTTCCTCTGGTTTTATTGATCACTGGCAAAACAATCATAAATATTAGAATAGGAAAAGACCTAGAATATTAAGTCATCTTGTTCGCATTCTTGACAATATATGATGGTTCCTTTTGTTACATTTTCTAGTGTTTTGTCTTGTCGAATTTTACATTTCCCAAATTATATGCCTTCCACCTCTTCCAATAGAAGAAGGAAGCTTGTCAGGGAGCTTTTCCGGATATTCAGCCTAGATTTCCGCTTTCTTAATTTCCTTCCGTTCCTTCTAGTTACTGTGTATGTCCTCTCATAATACAGTAATTAATTTCTCTCACTCTGCATTTATACTCTTCAGATGTTTGAAGATTGTTGTGTGCCCACTTAGTCATCATTGCACCAAGCTACACGTACTACATACCAAGCTATTTTAATCTTTCCTCATGCAGTAAATCAGTCTCTCCTGCTTACCGATCTTTTTTGTTGCCCTCCTTTGAACTCTCTTCAGTTGTCCGAAGCTTTTTCACACTGAGGTGTCCAGAGCTGAATGCAGTATTTCAGGAGTGGTCTGACCAGAGAGGAACTATTATTTTTTTGCTCTGTGACTTGTTGCTCTGCATAAATAGCCCAAAGTTCATTGGCCTTTTTTCGTTGCCACATCTCATTGTAAACTCATAACTAATTTGCTGCCAAGTACTTTCACCTTTACTCCTTTGCAGATTCCTTCCTCACTCAATATCTTTATTTCAGATTATTTCCCCCTGATCTGTTAGATTGCATTTTCCTAAGCCAACTCTCATTTTATGTGTTGCCCGTATTTCTAACCACTCTAGGCCCCTTCATATTACCTCTAATCTTTGCAGAACTTTCCAGTTTATTATAATCAGTGTTGTTTGCTACCATTTCTGACTAATTAGTGAAGTTGTTAAGTAAGACTGATCTAATACTGACCCATGCAACACCTCATAAATGTCTTTCCCCAAGTCAGTCCTGATTATGTGGGTCCTACATAAATGCTGACTTTTAAAAACAACCCTTGTGCTGAAAAATGTTCAGCACATTCAGCTCATTCGTGCCTGAGTTCAGGACAGACATATGAAACAACAAATGGAAAACTTTGGCATGAATGGAATCCTGTCATTGCAATGGAAGAAATGTCCCTCCCCTGCATGAGGATGGAATGATCCTTATGGAGAAAGTCCCATTTAAAGATACAAAACTGGGAAGAATTCTGTACAACTTGTATGCCCTTTTGAATAATTGACCAGTCCTCAAGGTGATTCAAATCAGTTCAAGTGTCCAGCTGTTCCCCTGTCACCAGTCTCTACAGAGAGATGTATTCTTTAGAGTTCTTTAGAGGCTGTATTACCATACAGAATTTATTTTGCTAATAAGGGACATAAAAGGACCTGTGTCCAAAAATATGCTTGTTTCTGTACCTCTAGTATAGTAGGAACATATGCTTCTGGGAGTTTGGACACATCAGAAGGCAGAAATGAGATGTCAGGCAAGGACATTGCTAGTTTGGTCCTGTAGCATCATGGGAAGCTGCCACCTGTCCCCACAGCAGGTGATGAGTGAAAATGAATGTGTTGATTTCTGCTTGGGCTGCTAGCTACATGGTGGTTTCCATAGTGGTTATAGTATGGGCTACCATAATTGGTGTTCTGCTCATGAACAGTAGTGGGGGGCAAGTGTCTCCCATGTGGAGACTAACTGCAAATTTAAATATACTGGTGAGCATATTTAGTATGCCTCCAGTTATGTGGTATGCTGCCTCTAAGGTGTTCAGCCCATTTCTCTTTGCAGAATAGCCATTTCTGCAATCATTTCCCTGTCAATTCATAAAAAGAACAGGAGTACTTGTGGCACCTTAGAGACTAACAAATGTATTTGAGCATAAGCTTTCATGGGCTTACAGCCTACTTCATCAGATGCATAGAATGGAACATATAGTAAGAAGATATATATACATACAGAGAACATGAAAAAGTGGAAGTAGCCATACCAACTGTAAGGGGCTAATTAATTAAGATGAGCTATTATCAGCAGGAGAAAAAAAACTTTTGTAGTGATAATCAAGATGGCCCATTTTAGACAGTTGACAGGAAGGTGTGAGGATACTTAACATGGGGAAATAGGTTCAATATGTGTAATGACCCAGCCACTCGCAGTCCATCAACTAGATACCATTAACTTAGGTTTGAATAGCAACTAGGAGTTAATGCAGCCTGCTCTCCTCATAGAAGGTTGACCAATATTCCACAAAGCCAAAAAGCGCAACTCTACACCACTCGCCATCAGTTCATTTCCAGAATCTTCTGCCTTGTGTCTTCCTTTGCCCGTGGGGCAGGAAGAATCTCTGAGAAGATTTCTTGGACATTCTTCATCACACTTCCAAGGTCACTAAAACAAGCTATTTTCTGAGAGATCTTGGCATGCAGTGCCATTAGTGCTGATATGAACCATCACTAAAGGACCCTTGTTCTTCCACTTCAAAAGTCTATCCAGTCTTAGAGTGGCTTGGCTCTGGGAAGACAGTAGACCATCCTGTTTCCAGTCTGTCCTTTACAGAATGTTCTTCTGATTCTTCTGAGTATTGAATCCCCAACAAGGACCGTCTGTCTTCGTTGGAGGGTTGGAGATCTCTTCATTGGCAAGCTTCATTTTTCTTACAGGTTGGACTGAGTTGCCATTGACATGTGTCCCATTTATTTCTCCATTCCCTCAGACCAGCTGGATCTTGAGAGCTGGATCCTGGACTTGGTATGGATTGGAAATTTCAAGCTGTGTGGAATTTCTCCTGATCCTTTTCTCTCTGGTGGGCACAGCCTGCCCATCCTCATCTTTTTCCACCCAAGCAAAATGTCAGCTTCACCTCTTCCCTTTTGGAATTATGAACTGCCAAGCCTACTCTGACTTCCTTTCTCTCTCTCTCTCTCTGACTCTTTGATGGCTGCCTCCTTTCTTCCTTGTAGCTGGGATACAGATGTTTCCCAAACCTAGCTGTCCAGAAACTCCTCAGCTTCTCTGATTTTCCCTAGCATCTCTATTTACTCCTCCAATCCAAGAATCTTTTCTTCCAGGACAGCCACCACCTTGCCATTCATGCACAGCAAGTTCCTTCTAGCTTCAGGCAGGAAAGAAGATATGGCACATCTGTTTCAGGTTGCCACCACTGTTCCAGCTCTGGCCATCTTGAAATTGCACATAAAGCTGAACCTGGAAGGAAAGCCTCTCACACTTCTTGACCAGTCTCCCTCTCCAAGCTCTCGTGTTAACTCCCTTCATTTGCAGCTCTTGAATTCACCTAGCAAGTTATTCTTCTTCGAGTGATTGCTCATGTGCATTCCACAATAGGTGTATGTGCTCGCCGCGTGCACCAGTGCCGGAAGTTTTTCCCCTAGCAGTACCCGTGGGGGAGCGCCCTTAGCGACCTCCTGGAGTGGCGCCTCTATGACGTGGTATAAGGGGCGCTGCGCACTCCCCCCACCCTCAGTTCCTTCTTGCCCCCCAGTGAAGATGCTTCGGAACTGCTCTGCTCCAGTTTGTCTGCAGCTTTCCTCTAGAACTCTTCTTCGATCATCGTAGTAGTACCTGTAGTTGAAGTAGGTAGATTAGTTTAGTTTAGTGTGCCCGGGTCAGGACATGCCCCGGGCTTTAAGCTGTGCGACACTTGCAGGTGGCCGATGCCAG